ATTGATGAGAAATTATTGATCATGACTTGGATCTAACAATGTTGCAATTGCATTATAATTGCGCTTAAAATTAACTAGGATTGTAACGTGATACATGGTTTAATAATTGATATTTATATTTGACATATTAAGTCCTATATTAAGCACAATTACCTGTTAAAGGCTCTTAAATTAATATTTTAAAAACTGTAAATATATTTTAAATATACAAATTTCTGTGTTAATGTTTTATACATGTTTACTAATGGATATGGAAGATCGGAAGATATTTTACTAAATTAAATAATTTTTGCGACATCAATAGATTTATTAGGGAGAAATTTTAATTAAATTTTTAACCAACTAGTTTTAACCAACTAAACATAGTATTTAACACATTTTGAATTATTAAATATTTCGCATCCCATTTATAAATTTTTTCAATGTGGTCGTCGGTTTGACCCAAATGCCAAAATCAATGTTACCAATGTCGCAAGAATAAGTTTAACAAAATATTTATTATAATTTATTGTATTAGTTATGAATTGAATATGCATTCTAGCAATATTAAATTAAATTATTGATACAAAAATGCGCACAATTTAACCGCCCATGATTTCACAAACGCTTAACAACTACTAGATTCAACTCAAGTACATAGTGTATAGAGCAGTGTTCACCGCAACCGGTATTTACCATAATGTAACGGCTGGTAGAAATGCATTGACAGCCACTTTGACACGATTTAAACAACACTCTATTGGCTACCATTGATAGTCACATAATGAACGGCATTATCAAAACACTCGGTAATTATCATTTAATTGGAATGAATTTTCATTATTTAACGGTAGATTCCAAACATATTTTCAATTATTTTTAACATTATACTTTTGCTATAAATAAAATAATTGTAAAATATATTTGACATAAAGCAAATTTGTAGAGCAAATAACCGGTGCTTATACTAAATTTTATAGTACATTATATTATCTAATACATTTTCATGTTTAGCGTGCTTTAAAGCACATTTATTTGTTAAGGGCTTTCAATAACTGGAAATATATATTAAATATACAAATATATTTGTCAAAGATTTATACTTACTTAATAATGGAGATAAAAAATGAAAAAATTTTATTTTCAATTTAACCAACCATTTAAATGGTTGGCACTATACAGCACCACACTGCATCAGCTGCACCACTGCACCACTAAATATTGGTCAGTATCAACACATCCGGACTGCACCACCATGACTGCAGCCCCTAATGACTGCACCACCATAACATCAAAATGATATAGATTGTTATAAGGATTATTTTTGCATAATTATCCTTAAAAATTGATTTTTGTATGTTATTACAAAATGTCATTTTTATAATTATTTTAATGCTTATAAATAGTAGAAAAATTGTCTTTTTTTACAAATATAATTAGTTTAATAGTTATTTTATTTAGATTTTTGAAATATATCTCTATAATTTATAAATAATTATTTTAATTTTTCTGCTTTGGATATTATAAGATTCTTTATTTGAGTCATTATGGTGCAATCATGGTGGTGCAGTTATGGTGGTGCAGTCCGGATATGTTGATACTTACCAATATTTAGTGGTGCAGCTGGTGCAGTGTGGTGCTGTTTAGTGCCAACCCATTTAAATAACTAAATGCTAAATAAATTTCCAACATAGCCCATTATTAAGTTTACTTATTTCTTACAAAAATAATTTTTTAAACTTATCTAGATGATCAGATTTACAGTTTTATTAGTAATTAAATAATTAAATATTTACATATTTAAATAAGTTCACTAAAATCAAATTATCAGCAATCTAAATTGTTAATTGTTCTATATAATTATATTATTACTTTTTTTAATATGGCGGATCTGTTTTGCAGATAAATAACAAAAAAGTATTAGAGTAAAATAAATCACAATTTTTGTATTGAAGTGAATTATTATCAAAGTAAAGATTGAGCTATTGTTTACACTCATTGTTTTGATCCTACTAAATTCAAATCAATATGAATGATTGAAACATACATTTATAACAAATTATGCATTTAAATAACTGTAATTAAATATTCAATTAAAAAAGATATATGTTACAATTAATTATTAATTCATACATTGGACGTGGTCGCGGACTATTTTTATTATAATTTTAACATTATATTTTCAATAGTAAATCATTACAAAATTATTTGTATGTTTTTAAACATTAATTTTAATAACTAACGAATCTTTTATAGGAGTATGTTGAATTTATATTTTGAAATTTCCTGGTTATATTCGGGTGCGTATATGCATGTAGTCATTAATTATATATCAGATAATAGATATATACTATAATTATATATATTAGTTAGTGCCAATAGCCAAAAACACACTAGTTTAAAACGCTTTACAAATGATATAAAATCAATTAATAGAAATTGATTGTGATAAAACTAACAAAATATTTAAATATAAATGATAAACAACAATTAATTGTGCAGAAATCACCAATTAGTTACTATAAAATTATAATCATTAATAAATATATTGGTAATACAAACATTATACGGCTTATAATAAACCTGATTTGCAATAATCAAATGCTATCTTCTTTTGATTTATAGTGAATTACCATTTGGTTTGCAAATTGGGTCTTAAATCATGTAATAATCACTTTCCCAAAGCAGTGGTCGACAGGAATGTGACTCACAGTCCACTCAACAGTTATCGCTGTTTTCACATAATGTATTTAAATTGAACTTTTTAAATACAACGAATATTTCTACGCGAAAAACACTTGGAAAACACTAAACTCGTTGGTCATTATGAATATTGGCACGTCTATAAAGCACAGGGATATTATGGCCGTTAAAATTGGTAACTTATACATTATTTTGTTTAAAAATTTATTTTAAAAAACAGCCAGGTCAAAAATGGGAGAAGAAATCTTAGAAAATTAAAATATGGTCTAAAGTCTATAGTGTAATAAATTATAAAATTTTGAAATATACAGCGAGTTTTAAGTCCATTAAATCTATATATCAATTAAATATAGTATAATTAAAATAATAACATTTTTATAATTACAGTTTACTTTAAAATCATGACAAATAATAAAATAATATCTTTATTCTGTATTAATGTATAAAATATAATTTAAAATGTAAGGCACTAAATATATTTAAATATAATCAACATTAATAAATTGTATTATAAATTAAATAATACTGTAATTATAAAATACTCAAAATTACTAATAATACTGTAAAAATAAACACAAGAACTATGTTAGTAAATGGATTTAATTTATGTTGGTACTACCTGGTGAATATTATAATTAATTTTTAATAATAATATATTGATTAAATAAATATGTTTATTACAATGATAATAATTGTTATTTTTACCAAAAAAATGAAATCATTATTTAAAATTTATTAATTTATACTAAATATATTTTTTACGATTATTAAAGTTAGAATTTTATGAGAATGACTAATCTGTTAGAGGCACAGTGCCTCGCTAGGCATTTTCCACTAATTTGTAAATATTTAAATTTTTAAATATACACATTAATTTGCTTTTGTGATGATACAATTATAAGGCCATTACAAAAAATTTGCGTGACTTCTTTTGATCACCATTTGAGAACAGCTGAAGTGACAATATTGAGACTTCACACATATATAGATCCATGGCCGGAAATTTGCTTAATAATTAATTAATTAATATCATTTAAAATCAAATTATATAAAGTTAAAATATTTTTACAAAACACATGTTTGAAATGATTATTTTGTTTTGTTTTTAGTGATGTTGGTAAGTATTGCACAGTAATATATTTATTATACGTTATAAATAATTTTATAAAAACTAACGTTTAATATTAAAAATAAAAATTGATTTAATTTAATCTCAGAGAGTTATTACGGTTGGCACTATACTGCACCACCTGCACCACTAAATATTGGTCAGTATCAATATAACACGACTGCACCACCATAATGCATCATATAATACATAAAGCAGATAAATTAAAAATATTATTAATTTGTAAGAGATATACGGTATATGCGCCCATATTTTATAAATCTAAATAAAATAACTATTTTCTATATTCAATATTTTAATAGAGTATAATAGTTTAAGTATATTAAATAAATAAAACTAATATTTATAGACTGAATATATTACATTATATTCATTATCCTATAAGCTTAATAATTAACGAGATTAAATGGCAATCATAACTAAATATTTACAAATTAAAGTTTAGGTTTCAAAATAATATTGATTTACCAAGTTTTAAATTTTTGCTCTAAAATAATTTTCTAAGTCTATATCATTTTGATATTTATGTCATGGTGCTGCAGTCATGGTGGTGCAGTCGTGTTATATTGATACTGACCGATATTTAGTGGTGCAGTGGTGCAGGTGGTGCAGTGGGGTGCTGTATAGTGCCAACCAGTTATTGCATCCAAGTCATTTAAAATTTTACAAAAATAATTGCCTCTAAAATCATGAAAAATAAAGTTTACAGTTAATTATTCGTTTGTTATTAAAAAATACAAAAACGGTTTTTTAAATATTATCTAGTGTACTTTTTATATAAAATAGTATTGTAAATAAGTTTATAAATATCAATATTAGTAATGAAATAATCATTTATTAAGATTTGCTTAATGTTTTTGAGATTTCAATTTATTATTATTTTTTAAATTTCAGTAAACTTTTTAATTTTAAATCATAAAATAAAGAATAGGTGTTTCATACGATACTACACTATATAAAGCGTAAAAGCAACATTTTCTATAAAAATATAATAGCATTTATTACACCTGAAATTAAATATTAGTTTTAAATTACAAAAATTTAATTATAAAATTCCACTTAATATGTGTTTAATTAATTATTACAAAATTTACAAAATACATAAACAGTAATGGATGCTCTATTTACAAAGTTGTATGCATGTTTAATATGCTTTATAATATTAAACGGTCATGGTTGTTCGTCAGAATCAGATGACCATGCTCATAAATCGGACACTGTTAACTACACCGGCTTTAAAGTCATACGCTGTACGGTTGAGACCGATGAACAGCTCGAGTACTTGCGATCACTCGTTAAAAACAGAGAAGTAATTATTAATTATTATTTATAATAGAGTTTATTAATTATTAAAATTTTTATTATTAAAATAATGATTTTGTATAACTGTCTAGATCAAATTTTGGTTACCGCCTACAATGGTGGGCAAACATGTTGACATTATGGTTAATATAACACATATGCCTGAGTTAGCTGAAGAACTTGATGAGCATGATATTTCTTATGAGGATTTGATTGAAGATGTTGGAAAGTATGAATTAGAAATTGATAACATTTTATTAAAACAAAAATTAATATTTACAATTTTATTCGCCAACCCAGTTTACATATTTTATTAATCAAAATAAATTACTTAAATTTTTTAGATGTTAAAATTTACAGTTTTATTAGTAATGAATTAATTGTTTATTTACCAGCAAATAATAGACTTTAAATAACACAATAAAAATAAAATCAAATTAAAGATAATTAAAAATGGAATTTAGTGTTTTATTAATAAATAATTAAATTTAATAATCAGAATATATTTTTACTAAAAATTAAACATCTCATTTGATAGGCCACCAAATCCATTTAAATTACATAAAATTAAATAACCCAAACAATACTTAAAAATTAAATTTACAGTTTTTAACTTAAATTTACTAACTACTCATAATAAATTTTATTGTATATTTAATACTTAATTATAAGTTAATTAAAACCTTAAACTAATAATAACTCAATAATAGAAAAATGATCAAAGACAAAATCAGACAGTTCGCGGCCAGCGATTCATTTTTCGACGAATTCCGTCGTAACGGAGAGATTGAAAAATTTCTACGCGAAAAACACTCGGAAAACACTAAACTCGTTGGTCTTATAAGTATTGGCACGTCAATAGAGCACCGGGATATTATGGCGGTAAAAATCGGTGTTGACCATGGTCGGGCTAATAAGTCCATCATTTACATCGATGGTGGCACTCATGCCCGCGAATGGGCCGCAGTGTCCACCGCGTGCTATATAATTGACCGCCTCATTGATGATTATAACGCTGGCGATAAAGTGGTGACGTATTTGTTGAATCGGTTTGATTTTTATGTGGTTCCTGTGGTTAATCCCGATGGATATGAGTACTCACACACAACAGTAAGTCATTTCAAACGCAATTATTGTTGTATTTTATAATATTACAAATATTGGTTTATTTAATTAATAGCCTTACTAACAAGCAAACGAGAATGACTAATCTGTTCGCGGCACAGTGCCTCCCTAGAAAGTGCCGCGCTAGGCATTTTCCACTAATTTGTAAATATTTAAATTTTTAAATATACACATTTATTTGATTTTGTAATGATACAATTATATTTGTAATAAAAATTGTAAATTAAAAATATTTAAAAATTTTTATTAAATTAAAAATTTAGATTAAATTTTTTTAATACAAATATAAATGTATTATTACAAAATCAAATAAATGTGTACATTTAAAAATTTAAATATTTGCAAATTAATGGAAAATACCTAGCGCGGCACTTTCTAAGGAGGCACTGTGCCGCGAACAGATTAGTCATTCTCCAAGCAAATTATTGGATCAGCCACCAAGATATCTTCACGAATTTTATTTTTACAAGTTTGCATTTTTATCATTATATATATTTTAATTAAAAAGTAATTTATGATAAAAATAAAATTATGAATAAAAAATATGGACGAAGTGAAGATTAGATCTCCAGATCTTTCACATAAACAAAACTACTAGTCCAACACCTTGACCACAGGACTACCAAGCTTATAATTTATGAACATACTTAACTGCCTATTTATACATGTTTGCTGTGTTTGAATGCCTCCCACACCCCCCTAGATGAGTATCAGCAAAATTAATTATTATTAAATTTTTTATTATTATTTACTCTATAAGAATAGAGACAATTCGTGAAGATATCTTGGTGGCTGATCCAATAGTTTGCTTGTAAGATGCTTGTGATAATGAAAGTTATTTTATAATTTAAGTTAATATTCTTATGTAATTAATGTAATAACTATGGTTATGTAATAAAAATCTAGTTTCATAAAATTGGTATATTGCTTACAGCAAATCTATAAAATACAAGTTTTGGTTCAAAAATGTATAAAAACCAACAAGGTTACAAATATAAGCAGAAATCTTTTGAAAATTAAATATGATCTAAATTATGGTAAATTTTAAAATTATGACATAAAACATAATATTTGACGTATTCCAAAAATATAAATGCCATATAAACCTTGTATACTTAGAATACTTTTGTGTATAATTACAGGTCATTTAAAAATAATGGTAAATACAAAATACAATAATTCTTTATTTTGTATTAATTTATTAAATATATTGTATTAATATTAGGACCGAATGTGGCGTAAAAACAAAGCTATACTAAAAGGCAGTGAGTGTTTGGGCACTGATCTGAACCGTAACTATGGTTTCCATTGGGGCGGAGAGGGCTCGAGTCGGGACCCGTGCGAAGAGAACTACTCGGGACCCAAAGCATTCTCGGAGCCCGAGTCCAGAGCGGTCTCGAGCCTTATATTGGATAACAAACACCGTTTGATGGCTTATATTACGT